CTGGGAACGGGCCGGGCTCGGTTGGTGGGTGGTGAGCAATGGCACTGGGTAACACTCATTTGCATATCTTATTACTATTATTATTATCATTATTATTTTAATATCATTATTATTTTAAGTTTTAGTTTGTTTCTGTTATTAAACTGTTCTTATCTCACTCTACGAGTCTCTTTACCCTTGCCCCCCAATTCTCTCCCCTATCCCCTGGGTGGGGGGAGTGAGTGAGCAGCTGGCTTTGGCTGTTAGCCCAGTGCTGGCCCAGTGCAACCACCACAAAACTCTAGACAGAGTCTATGTAAGAGGATGTTTCATTAAGTTAACTGGAATTAAACCAAATAACACACAGTGGATTGTGCTTCTATTGGTGATCTCCAGAAATGAGTGCAGAGTCAGAGTCAAAAAGCCCTGGGGTCTAATGGAGGCTCAAGACTTTGACTTGAGTTGACTTTGACTCCTGAGCAGACCTCAGTTGCTCTGTTTGTTGTTTCTCCATGTGTCAGAGGTGAAAGATCACATCAGAGGTCATAAAAAACACTCTATTTTTGTGTTTAACAAAGATACAGCTACTGGATCAGGAAGTCCTCAGCTACCGATGGGTGGAAGTTGGTAGATGACCAACCAAAGTAGCATCTGATTATAGATTTTCTCTATGCAGCTGCTCCAGGAGATGGGATGTTGTAATGGACAGAGCTCTGGATGACACTACAGAGACAGGTTTTGTTCATCAGTAATGAACTACCTGAGAGCTGCTCATGCCAGGCACGGCAAGTACCGCTGCATCCTGCTCCAACAATCCTGTGCTTGTGAGAAAAGAATTTAAAACCTGACTTATGGGGGGCTGGAAAAATATTTGCTCTGAAAAAGCAAGGAGTAACCTGCAGCCGCCTGCCCTGGGGAAGCAGGACAGCTCCCAGCTCCAAATGTCCACCCAGACAGGGACTGGAGGGACACTGGGCATCCCCTGCACCAGTAGGGCTCACAGACAGGTGAGAGCCACCAGATGTTCCTCCTGCAACTGCCACCCAGGCCTGGAAAGGCTTGTGTGCTAGAAGGGAAGGGAGAAAGAAAGGAGCTGAGGTTGTAAAATTAATAAGCAAAGGGTGTGGGATGGTCAGTGGGGTGGTGGAACTTCACAGGTTCGGTCAAGCACATCAGAATCACAGACTCGTAGTGGTTGGAAAAGACCTTTAAGATCATAGAGTCCAACCATAAATCCAACACTGCCAATTCCACCTCTAAACCATGTCCCTCAGCACCTTGTCTACCCGTCTATTAAATACCACCAGGGATGGTGGTTCCACCACTTCCCTGGGCAGCCTGTTCCAATGCTTGACAACCTTTTTGGTGAAGAAGTTTTCCCTCAGATCCAATCTAAACCTCTCCTGGTGCAACTTGAGGTCGTTTCCTCTCATCACTTGTCACCTGGGAGAACAGACCCATCCCCACCTCTCTGCACCCTCCTTTCAGGGAGTTGGAGAGGGTGAATGACCCCAAGCGTCCCCCTGACTTTACCTGCTGCAGCCAGGTGAGCAGTGACTTCATCAGCACCTGTGGAGTTGAGGATGTCAGAGTCATCGTAGGAAGTGTCCTCCGGTGAAGACGGTGAGTCTTCGTCCGCGCTCAGCATGCTGTGTTCTGTGTAGGTGGCCACATGGACCTGCTGTACCTGCTGGGCCACTGCGTGGGCCTCGATGGTGGCCATGTGTTCTGTTTGGGTCACCTCGTGTTCTTCCATCAATAGCTACTGTCAGAAGAAGACAAAAAACATCACAGGAAGGGGTTATTGACATTGATGCACCATAAGGGAGCAGCCAAAGGTTTCTGAGCCAGGTAGGTGAGTAGGTTGTGACCAAGAGAGAACAGAGGTGACCTCCCTTGATGGCAGTGGTCTTCTACGAGAGGGAAAGAATGACTGCACCAGGAGCCTGAAGAGGAACTTGAAGTTTAGGAGTTCTGAAAAATCCATACTCCAAACAACATGACAATGGAGGAAAGGTCTGGAGGAAAGATCTTTAAGGATCTTGTAGCCCCAAGGTTATGTGCCCCTCCTCACCAGGAACTAAGAGGCTTGATTAAAGATGGAACTTATTTTTGCTGCTTCAAGACCTAGATTTCAGGGAAGATGCTCAAGGGTGATACACAATCTCTTTCCTCCAACCTCAACAGCTCAGGACAGAAACAAGGACACCAGTACAGAAGTTTACTGGCAGCAAGTCATAGAATCATAGAATCCCAGA